TCATTAATACGAAAAAATGCTATAATTTCATCAAGCAAAGTATATTAAAAATGATTTAAAATGGATAAAATTAATCTTTAGATCTAAGTCTGTAAAGCCAAGCATGCATTTTTAGAATGATTGCCAAATAAGCTTTTTACGATTTTTTAAATGCCACAAATAAGCGAAAAATGCCAATAACTTTCGTATTTTTTAATTTTTCACCAAACCTATGCTTGGTTCTGAAGAGGAGGCTGTGAAGAACATAAATATTGAAAAAACACGTCCATTGGATGTTTCGCACCGAAGATTATATCACGTCCATTGGATGTTTCGCACCGAAGATTATATTTTTTAAATGATACCATACATTTTATGTAAACAAAAACCTTTCCACTGGAAGTAAAAATTTTCCCGCACTCACTTCTCCGATTGGCTAGCATCGGCTAGCATAGCAACCAGGTCGTCTAGAAACGGATACGTCAGTACACCCTTAACACCTCTTGGCATAACTTTCCTTACTGTCTGTCAAGATAACTCATCTGTCCAGTCTCTGTACTATAGCCTATTGACTACCGTGATTAAGTAATACTGTTTGTCACTCAGAAATGCATAATTTACTTTAAAGCTTCAAATGTGTTCCTCCTTTYAATGACTTGATGAACACTTTTTCACAATCACTTTTTACTTGTTTTGGTAGTTGCTACTAATGTATATATTTATTGCCATTTCAAGTTTATTATTGATGCATAATCACTTTGCCCAGWACATGATTGACATGTTTATCACCATCTTTTACTTATAGATGGTCCCTCCTCGTGGTTGTGCTTACGTCCAAATGGCAAAAAGAGAAGAAGCCATTAAAGCTGTTAGCAGGYTATCCAATCTACGTCTTCATAGTAGTAATGTTAAGGTACATCATCACTTTGGTTGCATAGAAATATATTTATGTCATATACATAATTTATACAGTTGTCCAAAACAAAAACACAAGTCGCTCAAAAATGTTTTCATGAATGCCATCTGGTAATATGGTTATTCCCTAAATTGCATACGATAAATCTAATGCCATGAAATTATTTTTACACGACTACTGCAAAGTTCGTATATCTAATGAAGCCTTCTTTGACGTCATTTTCATTAACATATTGTAAGATTGAACCTTCATAACTCAAAGACGCAACACTGAAATGTAGGAATATTTCACCATTCGATTATATGTTTTATATAGAATCAGCTCACAAAGAATCAGAAATTTTTTAGGTACTTTAAATCTCTTTTTTGTGATGATCTAAAAATGCTGTAAGCAAAACCACGTGCCATGTCATGCAACAAAACTAGCCGGACATTTTAAACGATTTGGATCATTGTTCATTTTTCTGCAATATTTTGTTGTTGTTATCATAGCATACAGCAGCAACCATGGTGTGTGATTTAGGTACTTAAACTGAACATGTTTGTTGCATGACAAGTTAGGTTTTTTTATAATCTTGAAGAGCAGTAATGTTTAGCTGTCACATGGACGTTTTTTTGTGTTATGCCATTAGTGATGTGGCAGACAGATTTGTAATATTCAAGAAGTGAAGCATTGACATGTAAGGAAGCTTATTATTTGTTACTAAACAATGCTAAAAACATAAGAAACCCMTTGCAGCTTGTTCAAGCAGACATTTATACTATGGARGGGATGACAATAAGAGACGGGCGGACAGACAAGGCGTGTGCCTAGAATGTTGATAGTCTCTTTTCTGATCCATATTCTTCACTGCTTCATTGTAAGCCTATTTCAAGTTCTGCAAAGTTTATAAGATATTGTTGTTTGTTTAGTTGGCTTGGGCCCCTGCCAGTGGAGTTAAAGACCGTAAATATAAAGAGTACTTCAATGTAGAGCTTGGGGTCACCTACATACCTTGGGATGTGCTGGGAAGCACRCCTGATCTTAAGGCACTTGCTGAGGGCGGATGGATTGATCCAGAGAGTTTACCGGCAGAACTAAAGGAGTCATTGAAAGGTAAAGATTTTGTGAAATGAACAATSAATCATGTACTAGTACTATTATATTCAGATATGGAGGATTTTTATTTATTTATTTATTTATTAACCACACAGAATTAATATACATTTCTGATATGTTACCTTGAATTATATATTATACAAAAAGATGGTTGTGTTCCATGTAGTGCACAATAATAATTTGTTGTTTTTTTAGCTGCAGAATCTCAGGGCGAGGAGACTGAAGTAAAAGCAGATGAACAAGCAAATCCTCTTGCTAACCAAGTACTTCCCCCTCAAATACCGACACATCTGCCCCCTCCGGGTCATCCAATGTTTCAAATGATGCCACCACCCCATATGATGATGAGACCTCCCTTTCCAGGTGGACCCAACATGCTGCCTCCTGATGCACCACCCTGGTCAATAAACATCCAACAGAGACCTCCAGGATTTAACCCTGCTGTCCCTCCTCCCCATGGAGTAAGACAGACTGGGTCTTCGTCATTTCCGTTTAATCAAGGTGGTGGTGATAACCAGCCACCCTTTCACCCACGTCTACATCCTTTGCATGTTCGTGGCCAGGAACCTGGTGGAATGCATCAGCATAGGCCCAGATTTCGTATGGAAGGCCCACGTGGACCTTTAGGAGGACCACAGGGACAAACGGGACAGCAGCGAGATGTTGATGGACACCACAACATGGGTGAAGCACCACCAAGAGACTTTGAGGGACGTCCTAGAGGTCCCAATGGACCTCATGGGGATCTTAGAGGACCACCACCTCGTGGGCATATAGGTGGCCCTGATGGGCCTAGAGGACCTTCAGGTCTACCATTAAGACAGGAAAGACCAAGATTTGACGGGCCACCAAGGGGCCCAGAAGGGCATCATGTCAGACATAACAGACCTAGGTTTGGACTAAGGGGACCAGAAGGTCCACCAATAAGGCAGGAGGGACCACGATATGATGGGCCAATGAGAGGCCAAGAACGACCTCCATTTGCGGGACATCCTATGGGGCCAGCAATTGAAGGTCCATCCAAAGGTCTGGAAGGTCCACATATCAGGAACGAGGGACCTCCTGGACGTGGACTGGAGGGGCCAAGGGGTGTTGATGGTTTACCAGTCGGGCAAGAAGGGTCACAAGATGTGTCACAAGAAACCCCTAATGTCCAATCAAATCAGGCAGAGTGCATTAAACGAAGCGATAGCTCATCAAGCAATCAAGATGGTGTACCTGATGGTCCTCCAAATAGGTTTGAAGGACCCCCAAGGGGAGGTCCCCCTGGGAATTTAGAGGTTGGACCAAGACCCTTCATGGACAGACATCAAGGCTTCGAGGGACCTCCTAGAGGACCAGAAGGCATGCATAGAGGTCCTGAAGGAATGCAAATACGACCTGATTTACGTCCAGAATTTCGAGGACCTCATGGAGGACCCCCAAGGCACTGGGGACCATCGCATGACCGACCCATGGGAGGCCCACCTCCTATGGGGATACCTGTTCCAGAATGGCAAAGAGGTCCACCAAGAATTCAAGATGGGAGGAAACCGCCATATGACGAGGATCCCCCAAGAGAGCGTGGTAATGGACCGAATGAACATGGATCTCGCTATCGTAGGGATAGGGAAGAGCGACCGCCKTGGGATCGGAGAAGAGACCGGGACCGTGATCGTGACGAAGAACGCTCGAGARGCCGAGAACAAGATCGTGAACGTGACAGGAGTCGAGATCGTGATCGAATGATGGGYCGAGATCGTGATCGTCCTAGGAGCCGAGATCGACCACGAAGCCGTGATCGTGAACGTGAAAGAAGTCGAGATCGCGACCGAAGTAGGGATCGCGATAATAAGAATAGCCGTGACGTCGATCGTGACCGAGATCGCGACAGGCGTGATCGTGATAGACGTGATCGWGACAGGCAGGATCGTGATAGACAGGAACGTGACAGACGTCGAAGTTTTAGCGACAGGGATAGTCGTAGTTCTGACGGCGAAAAATGCGAAAGGCAAATAAAGTCGGAACAGATTAATGAACCTAAAACTGTGAAACAAGAATCCGATCAACAATCTAGTAATTCCGAACAACAAGAAAATGAGCTTTCGGTTGCTGTGAAACAGGAACGTATAATGGAAGTGAACAATGCTTCTCCTGAGGAAGGTGAACTCATAGAGGATAACAACATATCGCAAAATACCCAACCTGACAATGACACTAAATTAATAATCTCTGAGACAAAAATTAAAAKTGAATCAGGACATAATTCAATTGATGCAGCGACGGTGAGCAAAAGTATGGAAGAAGSTAGTGCGGAAATCGAAATGAAGCMGGAAGTGAAAGAAGAAGTGACGTCATCTTAACGTCGTTAGCTAGAAGCCTTGTAGATTCAACGAACATTTCTTATTTGTTTTTAAAAAAGAAACAGTGTTTAGAGACAATGCTGAGGAGCTTGGAATACTGATTAGCGATAAATATTTATTCAATACAAATTTACCTTTTATATATTCTCAGCGGTGTTTTCTTGCCAAGCACGCGCATTGATTTTCACTAGACGTGCCTTTCTTGAGAATGGTGCGTTGGAACTTCTGCGCTACGGACTCGGAAAGGCAAACGTGCAACCGTAATGCTGAGCTCTCAGTGAATGAATGATTTTGCAATTGCCTCCAAATGCCGGAGGTTGCCGACGTGTCCGTATCGAGAAGTTCTTATCGCTGATAAATGTGYCTCCAGATCGAGGATGTGATCATTTACACTCTATTGCAGTCGCATATTTCTYGACTCACTACGTTGTCAGTCACAACGTTTTTTGATTCGTGAGTAGTTGATATGGGTTTGCCTCCTTTTTTGTGTATTTTATTTCCAGGCAATTAGTTTAGCTAGTAATATTTTCGGGAAATTTGGGTAATAACTAGTTAGAAAAGAACTTGAGTCATWATAGTATACCACAAGGGTTTTTCTTGAGTATTCAGAGGTGTTACACATGAACACCATGGTACTAGTGGGGAGAGACCTCGTACAATRCATCCGTTCTCTGGCAAGTTGTACAAAGCGCAACGAAGGCTGCCGAGAAAATTAGGTAAGATAGACGTATAGAAGTAGATCTTCATATCCGCCATATACGCGTTGGAATTTGGCGTTGTACCATGGCATTTCACTGGAAAAAATCGCGCGCTTTTAAGGTTGTAAATTWGATGTAAATATGATGTAAGTGTCCAAAATTCTGTAAATTTTATGGAAATTATTTACATCAAATTTACAGAATTTTGGACACTTACATCATATTTACATCAAATTTACAACCCTTAAGGCGCGCRATTTTTTCYAGTGTTATGACCAGGATTTGCCTTATAAATTGTTTTGATGAGTTAAAACCTATGACAGCAAAAAGTTCAATCTGAGGCCGAGAAACAGACYGCTGCCGGTACAATGTAGAACGTAACATTTTTATGGCTGATATGGTGAAGTACCTTTATTAATAGCAGTTATGGCTGATATGGTGAAGTACCTTTATTAATAGCTCTAATCTTATGCAGGATAATATAACTAAGTATGATAAGGTACCATTAGGATTTATATTGCATGTAAATGACGTACAGACAACTCGCAGGGTCTTAATGGGGGGTCTCAATGTCGGTAGTCAGTTAAAATTCTAGGCATTTGTCGGTAGCAGAAGTACATAACCAGAATTCTGGTTATGTACTTCTGTCGGTAGTCGGTTATTCAAAAAAATTTGATAAACATTAAGTTTAAATGCATCTAAAACGGTGCTTTATACCAACAGAATTCTTTCTAAAATGCCAACAATTGAATCCTTGAGTCTTGATTGGTCAATTGGATGCCCCTCAAAGTTCATCACAACTTCAAGAAGCCAATCCGAAGCAAAATTTATTTTTTCCGCGGAAAATTTCCGATGTAGTTGCATGAAAAATAAAAAAAGCTTGTATTCACGGAGCTAACATCTTTGAATATTGGAAAATGCCGCCAGTCAGTAAATTTGTTAATGTCGGTAGTCAGCAAATTTTGTTCAAATTTGTCGCTAGTCAGTAGTTATTTTGTCCATTTGTCGCTAGTCGGTTAACCCCATTCAGACCCTGAACTCGCGATATAGCGACGTAGGACCGTAGCCAAGTGTACACGATAGCTGGAAGTTTGTTTTCAGTAATTTCTGTCTTTGTAGCGTAATACTGAGTGCATGCAATGCGAGAGTTGTCTGTACTGCGTACACTGACACTTTTATAGGGGACTATTCAGAGAGCGAGACAGCCTGGTTAAGAGGGTTGGCTCACGCAAAACCGGAAATAGCGAAAGACTGACAAGATTCTTCAGGCCTGAACTCTGTCTTGTCTCAGCAACTTTCCTTTCTCACTAAATCATATTTTCTTTATACAGTAGAAAGCTTAAAAATGTGCGTTTCATTTGCATGAAGTGATCGGGTAAACTCACTTTACTGATAGAGCGTAGAGTGGTTTTCCGAACCAAAGTTTAACAAAGCTTTACACTTCACAAAGGCAAAGAGAAATGTACGCCATAAAGTGTAGTTGGCTGAAATATATTGARCAATATTGGTGCCAGAGTGAACGTACGAACAGTGAAGTCATTAACAATATTTGACTATTAAAACTGTGATAGTAAAGGTGTATTAGTGTGCTATCTATTTCACGGGTWTTTTACTTCACTYTAGGCGAATTCTTTTCTATTGTCTCAACAACACTTTTTAGTAATAAAAAGTTTTACAACAGACTGAATATCCCGTGAAACAAAACTTAGTAAAGTGTGATAGTCAAATAGACACARAAGAAAACAAATCAATTAGAGCACACTTAATGCACTTAGTGTATTTCGCGCGGGTTTATGACTTGGCAGAAGTAAAAAACTCGTGAAATAGATATTGCACTAAGGTACGCTCTATTTTGACAATGCGCTTRTAAAGTCATATTTTGTTTTACAGGTTTAATGGCCAAACTCTAATTGTACTAGATTGATGTCAAAACACCCGTGAAAACGATTTTACTTCTAAGCACGCACGAACCTTGTTCTTCTTTTATGTCTATTTGGCTACTTTTAATTTTGTTTCACTTTATCAAATAGTGCTAAAATACCGCAATGTCGTGTGGATTGGCATCATTTATTCCACTGTTTTAGTTTTAACAGTCTAATACATGCATTTCGTGATTTAATATTACACATTATAAGGTTGACTATAGTTTATTTATTTACCGGGGTTTGATTGGAGTTCCATACTGTCACGTGATATGCTTCATCCACATCCCATATTATTCACACTCTGTTTACCTCGAACTGCCTTCTTACGTTTTTTTTTTTGTTTGTTTGTTTGTTTGTTTGTTTGTTTTGTTTTTAAAAAATATCTAATTTGTACTGTATTGAATTGGAGGTTTTCGTGATCAACCAGCGAGATCCAAGGACATTTTGAAAATTCCSGKGAAGATGCCGGACTTCCTGTGGTGTACGGTTCTGCGCGTTCGTGGTAACATTTGTACAGCGTTCGTTCGCCTTCGTTCGGAATACTTCATAATGACGTCATTACGTAGAATACGCGTTACGTAGAATCTCCCATCCCGTATTACAGGTCACTAGCTATGTTCAGTGTTTGATCAGTTGAGACAAATTATAAAAGCCAATTTGACATTTGACGTTTGCAGTAAACTCTCTCACACATTAATCACATGGCTGTGACAACTTCTGACGACTATGCCAGTGACGACTTTTGGCCTACAATCTTATGCGGAATAAACGGAGCACCACAACCATAACCCCTTTCCCCAGTCTATTATTGGACACAAGTTCGCCGTTCGATCCAGGACGATTTTCAAGCGATTCAAATAAGCGAAAAACAACATCGCAAATAGGGAGGGAGGGAGGTTGTAGTAACACACTCGTGGAGGCTGTTTCACGTTATTTTGCAATATATTGGTAGCTTGGCTGTTTGGTTTACGCGTTCTTTAAAAACCCGATCGACCCCGGCTTGGACGAGCCCGAGTTATGAGTACAAAACACTGAGAAATGAGTTGAGGTATAGAACAAATGTTACGCCAAAATCATATCTCCAATGTCAGATCTGCAAAAAAACTGCATCGAAGAATAACTCGATCTACATAGAGCTATTTGAAAAAAGGCCAGAACGAAACGGCGATTCCTTGAACGAAAGTGAACTTGGAAATTCTATGGATGGATCATATCCTAGGGTCGATTGTACAAAGGGTAACCTTGAATATCGCTATTCCGGCAAAGGATAGATCCTTATCCAGCAATAAAACACATGCAAAATCTACATATCCATCGTCCCTACAATCGACTCCTGAAAACATCAACAATTTATACAATCCAGGGGAAAATCCATCAATTAACGAAAGGGGGGGGGGGGGGGGGGGGGCAGTCAGTACGAGTACCTCGTGGAGTACAACTAAAGTGCGATTTAGGTGTAATTACATCAAGGTATTTTCAGTGAGATGCGATCAACACACATTTGCTTTCGTCAAATTGCATAATTTTAATTAATACCAGAACAATGACATGCAAACTGGTCTAGTTCTTACAAGACTTGCCAATTGAAATGCAATAGAAACATTGTAACATTGGCAGTCTTTCAAGTACTTTATTGTTTTTTTTTTTTGTTTTTTTTTTGTCAGCACTTCAAACATCGTTAAATGTTTTACAGGCAGCGTTAACACGTATCCGGATATTTCTAAACAACGTATTCTTATATTCACCACACCATGCTTGACATCGTCATGTCTCACCGGCGCGCTCAGTTCAAACAAAACGATTTTCACTCATTTTTAAACATTGTGACAAAAAAAAATTGTACGCGGTTTTGTGTTGCATTTTTTTAATTAAATCAAGAGTATGTCAATTGACCAAATGAAAAACGAGCAGAAGACTGGGAATAAGCACCTTAAACAATCCAGATTTTTAAAAATCTGTTTACACTCTTAGAAACAGTATATCGAAACTAGTAAACTGGAGTTTTATTGTCTAATGTAGAATATCGGCAGAGCTATGAGCATTTGAAAAGTAACGCATCAATACTGATTTTCACTCAAACGTTTCCAATTTCAAACACCTCTAATTTCTGGTCCTAAATTTATGAGMAATGAAACTTTCAGATCTTACTCATTATAATTTGTTCTTCCAACGAGTAATAATGCTATATTGAACAACTCATAGCCTATGGCGTTACGATAGCCACGCCCTTTTTCATGTAGTCTATACGGGGACGTACAACCCAAAACCATGCACAATTTGTGAAGATTATGCTTGTGATCATCATTTTCTTGTCAAAAATATCCGGCTACGGTAATCGCTTTCGGTGGTTTCGTGTGRTAGACCAAACGCAAAGGAAATGTACCTTACATTTACATAACTTTAAAAAGGTCAATTTCTACCACATGATAATTGATATTTTAACCTATATTCCTAGATTTTGTAAATCTATTATTTGACTGTCCGACGTGTCCTAAATTATATTTATTTGTTTTTTTCTTGTAAATTGTTGACTCTGTTAAAGCTTTCTTTAAAAAACAACAACTCCATTAACAAGTCGTTACAGATGTAGTTCTATTTCCACTGATATTTTACACKTCTTTGATCCTGTTCGTTTTAGTAATTTCAACAATGATTGGGGCAGTCATATAGTAGTTATTTTATTGTAACTCACTTAGTTACTGAGGTGGATACGATGGTGGGTGGTTATAGTAGTTGCCATAGTTACTATAAGAAGGCTGTTGTTGTTGTGTGTAAGTTGTCTTAGGTGGATAACCACTAGCAGCATAGCCACCTGGCTGTACTGAAGCTGCTGGCTGTTGGTGTTGTTGCTGCTGCTGCTGCTGCTGCTGTACTTGAGGTGAATATGATCTGTTATACTCGTCTGCAGGTGGAGCACCCGGAGTATAATTCATACTTGATGGMATCTGGTTACTTGAATAGTTCTGGTAATTTGTTTGTTGGCTTTGCACATAGGATCCTGATCCAGTAGCAGAGTAGTTGTAAGGCTGCGTTGATGTTGGGTAAGGTTGGCTTGAGGCAGCTGCATACACAGGCTGGGTTTGTGGTGCAWATAAACCTTGAGATTTCTGTGGCATTGAATATGAGCCAGGTTGTTGCTGTTGYTGGTATTGTTGTGTAGATGTTGCAGCATGTAGTGGTTTGTTTGTGGTGGGGGGATTTGATGGATAATCACTAGTCACTGTAGATCCTGTATTCAATAAATATACACCGTTTTTACATCTAAGCATGCAAACAATTAAGTAAGTTCACAAAAAAATGGCTAAAATTTACTTCCTTCTCCTTTATTACTACATACTCTTTATTACTACATACCCTTTATTACTACATACCCTTTATTACTACATACTCTTTATTACTACATACCCTTTATTACTACATACTCTTTATTACTACATACCCTTTATTACTACATACTCTTTATTACTACATACTCTTTATTACTACATACCCTTTATTACTACATACTCTTTATTACTACATACTCTTTATTACTACATACTCTTTATTACTACATACTCTTTATTACTACATACCCTTTATTACTACATACTCTTACTAGCTATGAATAACTTTTGACAAGTACATGTAGCTTTTCGGATTGGCACATGATATAGAATGCCTTACATACATGTCATATGAAGTATCTGTTATTTGGGTTACCTGTGTCAGAAGAGCTGCTAACAGTCTGGTCTTTAGCCTGAAGTGGGTCAAACAGTTCAGTGTTCACTCTTGGATATGATGGTTCTACAGCTTGTTGCTGCTGGGGCTTGGATGATTGTTCTGGCTGCTGTTGCTGTACTGGTTTAGCTGAAATATCTAACAATAAATACAATATTTGATCAAARTGCAGCATTTACAGTTACCAACAATTCTCATTCTCTATAACGTAATTAACATAATTATGGCCACAAGTGGAATGAAAAACATCAAACAGTAAAATCCCAACCTTGCTGAGCATCTAAGATGTATGAGATTTATCCACAAACATGAAAATTCAAAGCTCCAAGCTTCACAGTTTGCAACCCCCMAAAAATAGTCTACATAGTATCAATCCTAGCCTCTCTGACAGCCACCTTTTGAACTTAGTGAAATTCAAATTCCACAATTTACAGTATGAGCCTCCCTTTTATACAAGGACCAGTTTATAATTGGGTATTCTTGTACTGCTAATGGTTCACAYTGCCTTTATTGTGTTTTACCTTGGTTACTTGATGCAYTTTGCTTCTGATCGCCAGATGTACTTTCACTTCCTGTGTCTAACCTATCAAGCAGGTAAAGTACTTTATCTCTCAGATGAGTCAGTTCTCTTCGAAATTCTTCCACCATTGAATGCTCTGGTGGTCTGGGAATCCCATTGACTACAACAATAACACACAGACATTAAACAAATCTTAATTAGAAATTGAAGGTATCAGCAATCCTTCCACTTCGCCTTCACCTTCAAAAATCAGGGTCATGGCATTGCATAAGCAATTGCCATTATTTGGCGATCAGGGCTGGAATATAGCTTTGCTATTGGGGTCACAGCTGCTGGTGTCAAGATCAGGTACATGTATCAGCTGTAAAATACACAGCAATGCTTCATTTCAGGGGATCATGGCAGTAAATTTGAAAAGAAATCTGGAATCAGAGAAAAATGGGATCACAGGCAAGAAAAAATGTCACAACCCTGATAAATCTCCTTTCATCCAATCTGGGAGTCACACATTAATCAGCTWTGGAATAATTAAATGATGCCAGTAATGTCAAGCAAGAATCAGTAAGAATGATATATAGTTTCAAGTCTCAACACTAGATTAGCAAATAGAAACCAACTTTTCTCTAAGATCAAGGTTGATTGCTCTTCAGTTGTATTAAAACATTTCTTTAGATAAAAYGAAATTTTGCATTTGCTGCCATTTATGATATTTAAAGCTGAGACTTATCTCAACCTGCTCCTTCTATTTCTGGGCATCATTTTGTTATAGTGATTGATTTGAGCTACTTATGGTCACACAATCCTCATAGGGCCTAATGTGGTAGACTTGTAAGTTTAGTTTGGATTGAAAATCATCAAAATTACATCACAAAATTTGAGATCACCAATTTTTTTGCTTCCTTCATCGCAATACYTCCTGACAAAATGCCAATGCCATAAACCCCCTCCTTAATATAGTCATGCTTACCAAATAAGGTAATTCTAATAATACGACTCATAGACTTGGCAACTGCAAGATCAGAACTGTCAAACATAGTAACAAGGTCACCATCTGAAATGAAATAAGGATTCTGAGAAATTTGGTTTATGAATTAGGTAGTAAATTATTCATTGTTTTCATTATGAGCTTTTGACTAACATTTTCAAGGAAAGATAATTCTAAGCTTATGAAAGTTTGCAGTACTCACACATCTGTTCTACACAACTTTAGATTGTATCATTGCTCTTATTAATTCATCTTTTACATAAAAAAGATTATTTTTTCTTTTAAAAAAAATAACATAAATTGTACATCTTGAGATTTTTTTAAGAATTTTTGTAGCAAAAGTTTCCTGAGAGAGTCACATTTTCACCTTTGATCWCTATTTTCTCTGTGACAATGTTACTAAATAGTTTATTCACTTTAGTTAAATTGACTTTTGCATAAAGTCTTTAAAGTTCTTTATTTTCCACATTGAGCACAGGCTCTTCTTTATCAGCTGTTTTTATCTGACCACCCCTACCCTTCTATATTTTACCATTTCTGGTTTCTAACAAAATCACTTGGAAAAAAGAACAACAACAACAAGAACCAGAACAAGAAGAGAACAAGAAAAATAACAACAAGAACAAGAGGAACAAGAAAAGCAAGGGCAAGAGCAAGAAGTGAGTTAGGAGGGGAGGGGTGGTCACAAATGATAAAGAGCCTGTGATTCCTGTCTTTTCCAGATTCACCAGATGTGCAGGGAGAACACATAGAGGTTACATCAGGAATGAAAAACTTTATTTATTAGTAATTAAGTCTATTTGTAATGTTRTGTTTTTCTATATCCTGAGTTTAGTTTTGCTTAACTGAGTCAGACAAACTGAATCAGGCAGTCGAGTATTTGAGTGCATAGTTTTTCTAGTACCTTAATTAACATTTAGCTGTGTTAGAAGCGCAGTATCTTACCTTCGTCCTTGTATTTAATAGTAACATCGTCTGTACTCTTTAGACGTCCGTTAAATACTCTTTGCATCATCAACAACAACTCGTCGTATGTCAACTCTTCATTGTGAATTGGAATTCGGCGTATGTCGTCTCCAAGTTGCGCTTTTATAACTAGTTTACCACTCAAATCTATCGGTTGAGATGCAAAGGCAAAACCACCACCTCCACTTGTACCAAGACTGAAATTTTCAGGCGTTATGTTCATTTTTCAAGTCGATTTTTATCAACTTCTTCGTAAGGGAAGTTTTACTCACTCCAGTCAAATGACATCATTGAAATCATTGGAACCTCGTATTCATATCATTGGAACCCAGCTTTACTCGGACAATCATTGAAAGGCTGGTAAGGAGAGACAGGTARCCCACAAAAGCGCAGAAAGTTGAGAAATAAACAAACAGGGTTTTATAGTCATTCAAACCCAAATAAACTTTGGATCATCAAAAGGTAGGAAATAAGRAGTAGGAGAAGTAGACATAAGATAATATCAGGGGCGGCGGAGCCAAAATTGACTGGGGGGAGGGGGTGTGGCACAATCAGACTTATAGTGATGACATCACATCAAC